AGATATAGACTAAATGATAGGTATTTTGCTTTTAATCTCTGTCACACAAAAAAATTTGCTCCTACGCATTTCTAAACGTGAATCAGCACTATAAACAGGATAACATGAAAATTTACTTTTTAATGTACCTACATGAACTTATGATTTGAATACTTAAACATAACAGATTTCATGACTTTACGAATTTGACCATTTTGGGCAACATCAGGTATAACAATTAACACAGAGTTTTATAGAGCTGCATGATCTGAACAACAACTTTCCATAATGTTCTCCGTTGTTTGATAGTTTTGTCGAGAGATTTTCCAGGACATTGACAATTTCAATAAGTAACACAAAATTACAAATTAATATTTGATTGATTCAACATCATCCTTTTGTTACAATATACAAAAATAATATGGCGGGTACCTACCTCTTTTTTCTTCAACGGCTCTTCTCTTCTTTGTAGTATCTCTATGATAGGTATCACAAAGGCTAAAGTCTTTCCACTGCCAGTCACCTATAAAGTTGCATAAAATAATGACTTTAAAGCCCATCTGCACTAGTCTGGCCAGGGGGATTAGACCTCCCTGCAAGGTTGCTGACAGGTGGTTATCTCATCAATTCAGCTCTCAATTAACATAAGAAAAAGGGGATCATGGGGGACCAACAGGCACAGATTAAGCATTGTTTGCTATATTGAGGGCGCAAGTAGCTATAAGTCGTGTAACCTTTACAAAAATGGCTATTTTGACCCAAGACATTTCGGATATATATGTCAAAAAATTCAAACAAGCTCTGTTTCAAGACTAAATACTATTTTGGTTTAATTATGTTTATGGTTCTATAATTATTGGTTAACATTTTGTTAAGAATTGCATATCAAAGCTTAAATCTGTATCATGTGGATGACATACAAGTACATGTTTGCTACCATAAATATTTCCTTCTCTTGTGCCATAAAGTTTAGGAAAGGGTATAAATGCTATTAAACCAAGCCTCACAGTCACACCTTGCCCCTCAATGGGGCATGATGCAGGAATATTATGCTAGCATAGAATCGATGGAAAGGAAAATAAAGACCAATATAATATTTACAATGATAATAATAAAACGGCGCTTATGAAGCGCTTTCAACCGAAGTCTCTAAGCACCATAACAAACAGAATACTATGACAACCAATTACATATTAAACAAAACAAGGGAAACGCTCTCGGCGGTCTCGCCTGCATAATGCAATTCAATATGATAAACCAGAACGTCAATGACGTAGCGCTCATCCGTATCTCACAACAACAAATATCGTAAATTTTATGTGGTACACTTTTGAACTGGTCAAAAAATAGAAATTTGATGCCCTGGAAGGGACATAATTTCATTTCATTTGCATAAAGTACCATAAATAATCAATGGAGCAAAATCTCACAATTCTGTGTAGAAGTTTATTGTTCCAAATTTAGCTCTACCAGATAAGGCAAAATCGGTCAAGAAATGAGGGAAATGAGGGAAAAGAAGCAATTTCTGTTATTTTTGGAATAAATTTGCATAAATTACCATAATTATACCAAAGTTAGCTCTACGATATAAAGCAAACCAAATCAAAATCGGTCGAGAAATGAAGGAGAAAAAGCTTTTTTTGTGATTTCGAATAAATTGGCATAAATTAGCATAGATAATGAATTTCACGATTCTGTGTAGAAATTTTAAATCCCCTCCTAGCCCTATCATATGAAACAATCAGAATCAAAATCGGTTGAAAAATAACGAAGAAGAAGCATTTTGAAAATCTTAATGTTGATGCCACAACAAAGTCTAAGTTTGTTGACCTTAAATGGCCTTTGACCTTAACTTAGTGACCTGAAATTCTACTCACATGATTGGGGAGACTTGATAACCCTATAGTCCAAGTTTCATTGACTAAGAACTTATACTTTCAAAATTATATCAAAAATTCAAAAACTTAACCTTAGGTTAAGTTTTCGATGATGATGCTACAACATAGTCCAAGTCTGTTGACCTGAAATGACCTTTGACCTTGACTTTGTGATCTGAAATTCTACTCACATGATTGGGGATACTTGATTACCCTAAGGTAAAAGTTTCATTGACTAAGAACTTATACTTTAAAAATTATACCAAAAATTCAAAAACTTAACCTTAGGTTAAGTTTTTGATGTTGACGCCGTCGCCGCCGACGCCATCGCCGCCGCCGCCGTCACCGGAAAAGCGGCGCCTATGTCTCGCTTTTTGCTACGCAGGCGAGACAAAAATACAAATAAACCTACAAATTACAATACATATATACATCAATATGTATTAATCTTGAGAAGGATGATGCTCCAGCATCAATTTTGTTCCACTGACCAGATTTTTATTTCAAACCTTGACCAAACATTATACCTAACCCTAACTCTTAACCTAACTTTAAATCCTATCGTCAGTCCTAGGAATAAAAAATAAAAGTTGACGAAATAGATCCTGGAGGCTGGAGCACATGTTGCCTGAGCTTACATTATGTCACGTCAATGAGTGGAAATGCTACTTACCGCCTCTGCAGCCACATCCTTGTTCCCCAGAAAAAGTGGGATCGTTGCTGCCTGTCGATAAAAATAAAAGAAATAGATTTGTCAAAAAGTGTTCAATGAAGCTAATGAATTGATTTCATTTTTAGGCAGGTTTAATACATGTAGGTGTTGTATCACAATCCTCCATGATCTCCATCTCAATCCACTCAAGAAAGTATTTGTTTACAGGTCAATAAGAGCGGTTCGGACTTGGTTTGGGCAAATTGGGGGCGGAATCTGTCTTTGCTCGTAGGGTCTATTACAATGTTGTATTACTAGTCTAGATACACAAACATTATTATTGGCAGTGCACGAGGATTCATGCACATGTATGGTACATGAGACAAGATGCTAGATGTGACTTGATAACAAAAGAAGACAAAATCAGCACCTTACATTGATGGTAAAAACTTATAAAATTCTCATAGCTAAAGCTGATCACCTTATTTTTTAATTTTATTTTGCTTGTCACTTGTTTTTGTGTACGTCCCTCGGCCCTCTCATGTTTCAAGACAGATTTCCAACATGTACACAATTCACAAGGAACATGCACCTTCATTTCAAATAGCTTTGTATGGAAGCTGACATGAACTGTTTGTAACTTGTAAGAAATTAAGTTAGTTTGTTGAGATTCAATACAATTTTCACATGGTGTTGGCCGCACAAAAGACCCTAGATCTAATTGAATTTTAATCGAAACTCTAGACCTCTATATTCAACCGACTAAAAAAATACTCTTTTTTCCTATTCTCAAACGTTTCTGATTATACAGAAGTGTAATTACAGTACATATTGCTGTCAATATCAAATAATAATCGTCATAGTTCACAACAAGCATACATTTCCGACAGCACAATCAAGTGACACAACAACATGTAACAAACACTTCACAATAGCAAACACGAAAATCAATTAGTGGGACTACACTTACCTGAACGGGAGTCATTCTGTCAAATTTCAATTTCCTCAAACTCTTTTGCACGCAACGACTGAGTGGAACTGGTAACTCCTCCCATTTCCCCTCCATTTCAAGACGAAAGAATCAAAAACTTGACTGAAGAACGGCTACCTAGTAGTTTTAACATAACATACGCCACACACGTGCCGAGATTCATTCGTTCATGCATATGCGCATTCATTATTTACATGTACTATTACAAGGTCAATTGAGGTCATTTATATTGAAGTCCGCTGCTGATCACAGAACTCTTAAATACGTATTTAAGAGTTCTGTGCTGCTGATGCATTTTTTTCTTCCATGCGCTATGCATGATGAATGCAATGAAGATCACTAATGTTTCAATTTATTGATGTTGGGGGGGGGGGGGGGCAGTGGCGTACGCAGGATTTTTTCAAGGAATCGCAACGACTTAGCCAGCCGCTGAATAAGCGGGGGGGGGGGGGGGGGGGGGGGGGGGGGGGGGTTCTCTCGGTAAGGCCGCCTACATTTTGTAACACTCAAAAGTGAGTGCACATTTTAACATTTCATAATATAGTTTTGGTACAGTTTTGAAGCTAAAAACTTGTTTAGTGTCGGATGTTGTCAGCAGAGAAATTGTCGATGGAGCTGGCGTCGTAGGCCTACAACCCATGTCTGTTTAAGGTTTTTGAGAGAGGCCCCCCCCCCCCCTGACTTTCAAATTCTTCAACCGACTGATGATTATTGTTATTATCTGGTCACTTTGTGAAACACTATGCGAAGTTATATTGTGTAAAAGGCTTTTTATCAAATAAGCTTATTGCTACAAAATAATCCTTCTTATCGACTTGGGCGTGTATGTGTAAGTTCTCAAGATATAAGTCAAAACCTTCGAAAGGCCATAACACGTAATATCATCACATTATTCAATGAGGGAATATATTATACTCAACGGAAAAGGGGCGTCGGCGCACGACCGTTTTAAAAAGGAGGGGGTCGGGCGTTAGACTCTTTTTTTTACAGTCGGACGACTTAGCCGAAATATATAAAAATACAACAAAAGTCCTCAGATTTTAATGTCAACGACAATAAAACCGCATAAACTGCTCATGAATTTTCACATTTTGCCAAGTGATGTGATATGTACCGGTAAGAAGAAATATTTTGAATGCTCTGAGCACCGAAACTGGTAAAAGCAGGGTAAGAGTGACGCACATCAAGTATATTTTGTCGCCTGTATATAAGTGCGATTATAGGCCACCTATTGTTATTATCATTTCTTTTAACCGTGAGCAAAATCCGGGAGCAAAATAGGGATGCCATACAAATATTATTGTGATGTTACCACGAGGCTTCCCTTTTCGAGCCAAACAAAACTGAATGTAGTTGGTAATGCAACATCCAATCACACTCCCGAACCTTCGGCCTTGGACCTTGGTCTAACGAAAGAAGTTCGCCATTAAACAAAAACCCACCATCAGAATCATTAGAGTCATCAGATTAAGTTGCATCATCATGAAGGGACTCGGACTGCTCGCGATTTTCTCGCCTCTGTATGCTTCACTAACGCTAAATACGAAGGGTGAGTTCGATTTCTTTTTTTTTTTAATGTGGAGAGCGACAACGAAATAGACAAGAACGAGGAGTACGAGGAATGAACATGGAATAAGATATTAATAGAAAAATGGAAGGAACAGAGATGAAACCTGTATAGAGACGTGTAGAGATGTGGGAGCGGGGGTTGGGGGGGGGGGGTTCAAACTAGGCTGTAGTTTATACTGCTCCTTTAAAACTGAAAATAACGAGAGGTGATTATGTGGCACATGTGGAGTTACTTATGAGAGATGTAAAATTCTGTTGTACACCAGAATTGCGTGGCCAGAAGATAATCTGTTAAGAAAAAAAATGTAAATACTTATCACAACAATCTTTTCTATCTCAATGCCGACTCAGGGCATATAAAGACACGGATATCATTACAAAGATGTCCCAAAATCGTCTCATTTTACTGAAGGACAATTTCAGACTTGCGAAAGAATTACAGCAAAACAACTTTTTTAACATGAAATGCAGATGGCAAGTGTGGAGAGTGGTACCCGCCAACGATTCACACAGAACATGGCTGAGAGAAATAGAATCGAATCTTGGAGATGCGGTAAGTTTCTTCTAATAACAAGTTATTTCATATTTCATGAAATTACCATTCCTTGCCTCTTTTTTCCTTCTTTTTTCCCAGCACATGCCATAAACTTGACTATGAGCTCCTCAAAAATAACAATGATAAAATAAAAATGGAAAATAGAATTTAAAAAATTGTACATTAAACGGTCCACACGTATTTCCAAATATCGAGAGTATTGCTATAAATGCGTGTGATAAATTACAAAAACTGATGTTATTTTGCATAAAACAATGGCAGAATTTATCGCAATAAAATGACTGGATTTTTTCTTCTCATTCTCTATAGCTTGACTTCTGGTCGAGTATTTCCAAGATACCTGGCGAATCAGTCGACATCATGGTCCCGCCCCTATTCCAGGGCACGCTTCCTGACGTCATGAAGAACATGGGACTGCCATATAAGGTCACCATCTCTGACGTCGGTAAACTCATAGCCAATCAGATGTCTGCGATTAATGAGAGGCGGGATCGCGAGCCACGGATAAGCTCATTGGCGGACTTTGATTATAACGTGTATCATCCATACGATGAGGTGATTTGTGCGATTGTTGAATGGCACATTTTATTAATTAATAATCATTATTAATTCATTGGAAGATTCGGTTTATCAACCTCCTTGTGCACCTTTTTAAATGTAATATGCATAGGCAAAGTACACCATATCTAATGTGCCCATATATATCCAAGGCGGATCCAGCCGGCGGCAGGGGAGGGGGCCAAAGAGGGGGACCAATTCATGAGAAAATATTTAGCGGCGAAACAGCCAGCCGGTGGGTGGGGGGGGGGGGGGGGGGGCTCTCGAAAATTTGAAAAATCGCACCCCCCCCCCCTTGAGCGCCAGGGGAGGGGGCCCGGTGGATCCGCCACTGCATATATCAAATTTTCAACTTAATGGTACATTTTGTTTTCTTGGTAGCTATTTTCAGAATGTCCCCCTTTACAAATACCATTTTTATCAACCTCATTTTAGATTCAGCAATGGGTGTCTGACATAGCAGAAGAGTATTCTGACATCATCTCACCCTTCTTATTGGATCATTCCTACGAAGGGCGGGCAATCAATGGATTCAGAGTGAGTTTAAACATTACTCATTATTGATCTAGTTTGATTCAGTCCAATTCAAAATATTTGTTTTCTTCCACTTTCTTTCCCCATACCATAAATAATTAATGAATGTATACGTACATGTATATAATGACATAATCAGTTTAGCATAGCAACAGTTTTAATACACGAAAGACTTCCTTAAAGGTACTATGTCCCATTTGCAGGCCCAAAAAATGAAAAAGTTAAATTCCAACTGCATTTGAAAGATAATACTAATTTAGAACTTCCCTAAAAAAGGTGGGGCTTAAAAATGTCTTCAAGTGGGAAAATAACGACTATTAGTTGTCAAATCGACTTTAGGGCTATAGAGCCCAAAAGTAATAGTCTTGATTTTCAGACAATTGTACCGAATGGTCATACGTTTTATGCTGCGCAAAGATTCAATCAGTTTAATCTTGGCCATCACAAGAAGTGGGTTATTGATGTAGACAAATGCTCATGTAAGCTTTTCAACTCTTTTCATGTATGTTATTACCAAAGAAGAAAAAAAAGCCAGTCAGTCACTCAATAGTGTCTGACAGTGAAGTCTAGCAAGTTAACGGTTTTCCTTGCATAATTTGAATATGAGGACACTGCTAACGTTTAAATTTCACAGATAGGACAAACATGACATATTCATAATTCCTGCAAAGTTCTACAGCATTTTAGGTTGGCTGCAAAAGGGACATAGTACCTTAGCATTATGCTTTTGTTGGATACGCCTTATAAAAAAACGACCTAAATACACATATTAGACAAAAAGAAAAATAGAAGAGGAAAGGAAAAGAATAGAAAGGGGGAAGAGAGTAAAAGTGAAGAAGTTTTGAAAGAAGTACTGCAACAACGCATTGCATAATCAACATGTCAAAGTATTACGACTTTGAGTCTATCCATCGAACACAGCAAATTCAAATTTTCATTTATGGATAGATAAAACAATGAATAGATCATTAACGTATGAAATTCAAGGTTAATTCTAGAAAATCGTGTCGCAACTATATTGTTCTTTTAGCTTTGATATTGATTAACGTTTAAGAAATCTAAAGAGACTGATGTCAGATAGTTTTGAGACACAATTTTAAGATGCAAGCCAGCCAAAATCACGCGTTGTGAAATACCAAAATGTACGGTATTTTTGCACTATATTTTTCGTCTTGGTATTCCATTACCAAATTAAATTGCATTTTATGAAAAAAACTTAGCGATTCACGTTGCTAATTCTCGAGTAATCAAAACAGACTTATTTCATTTCTTTTCTCAGATCCGAGGAACTGGAAGCCAATCTGAAAACCCAACTGCTGTGTGGTTTGAGGGCGGTATTCATGCTCGAGAATGGATCTCACCAGCTACTGTCATGGGATTCACCCAAAAGGTAGAGAGAGAGAGAGAGAGGGGGGGGGGGGGGGCAAATTATGGTTCAAAGGGGCTGCTGTACTGGAAAGGAACATCCATAATTCCAACTCCCTGGAACAACTTAACTTTAGTTTTTTTCGTTATAATGTTACCAAATTTATGCATAGGCCTATGCCTTTGTAACGAATAGTAAGTATTTCAATAGTCAAAATTCAAGTTGCATAATATTACGTAATGTTAGGTAGGACACTCCATAACGTTTGTCCTACCTAGCACTAACTAATTTATGCAATTTGAATTCTATTGAGATACATTTATTCGTAACAGGTGCATGAAATAGTTTGTATCGAGGCATTTAAGTATAAATCTGCATACATTACGAAAATAGCCTATTTGGACGCATTCTTATTTAAATGATCTAATGTTTAAACATGACATGCGATTTTTTAACGGCCTCTTTATCTTGTTAATATGCAGACCTCTATTGATTGTTATTTAGACCAGACTCAAATTGATTCCCCCTGTATGATTATTTTATAAAAATATACTCTGTCATTTAGATACTTAAATTACAAAATGTACATAATAAGTAGTAATCTCTTTGCTCTTAGCCATTTAAAACACTAACCTAACTGGTTTTGAATGCATGATAGATTTGTTGAAGAAGCGGGATGTAATTGGGAGAGTTATCTTTCAAGTTTCTCTAGCAGGGTCTCGCATCCGAAGTCGGACGCGAGTGCCCAACAATCAAAAACAAAGTCAGAACTTTTCATATCCTTTATCCTTTATTTTTGTTCATTTCGATTTCAATTTCTCATGTTTGGCAACTTTTTTTAAAGTTTTTTTTTTTGTATAGATAGGAGAATGGAATAATCACCTCCGACAAAATGACTGCAGTAGGCCTAAATGAAATATGTCAATCATAACTCCTTGAGGTGAAATTTTACGCGATAGTTATTAAGTTAAATTCACTCGATTCTTTTTATTCATAAGATTTAAGAAAAGAAAAACCTAAAGCTTTAATATTCTGGATATAAGTGTTTCCTCTACTTTTGTACTTTAAGTGTCATGTTACCCTATGAAACCGTTTGAACACTACATAAAAGACTGCTCAACATATCAATTTAAAAAGTAAAGATAAAAATGACTATTAGACGAACATAGATGCAAAGGCTTTCGAAAAATAGATTCAAGGGCATTATAACTACCCTATTTGTATATTACAATATTATGAATAATTATGTCAATAGGAATATTTAGTTTGATTTTTTTTCTCGAAAGTCCACGCGATCGTGCTGGAAAGAATCTAAAAACTGACCTATTCTATTTATTATGTTAATTTAATTTACTTAATGTCTTAATCTGTCTTGAAACCAAATAGCTTCTTGACGACTACAGAAGTGGAGACGTCTTGGCAACAAACATGCTTGACAACATAGACTGGTACATTGTTCCATCTCTCAATGTCGACGGCTATTCATACACATGGGGACCTGTAAGTATTGATATCAATCTTTTTCTTTTTATCGAAATTCTAGATTTTCGATAATAAATCGTATAACTTCTTGTTCTGATCTGCTGATACATCAAATCTTATTCTTTGATTTGGAATGGAAACCGTTTTCGTGGAAATATGACTTAACGCTAATTTTCATTGCAGACGTAATTCTTTGTTTGATTTCTATCATTGTGCATATAAATCTAGGATGATCTGTGAGAAGGGGAAGGGGAGGGCTTCCATCGGTGGGGGGGGGGGGGGGGGGGTGGGGTAATCAGATTTGTTTTGGACGGGGGTGTGCCGCTGAAGCCTCGAGACCCCCACCCATTTTTAAGGGTCATTTTAGTTTTTTCTCGAAGTAAGGGCTTCCATAAAGGGGTGGAGGGAAGCGCCACCCTCTGGAGTCTTCCATAACAAAAATGTCGTCACAAACTTTTACTTATTTCGAACCTCGTCGGCAAATCGCGGACCTATTCTTGGCTGGTTGGAATTTTTTGGCCCGTCGGCAAGTTTGCTCTGACCCCCCCCCCCCCCTAAATTAGGAATGGTCTGGCAACACCCCTCATGGTCAGAACTTAAATTTTGTTCTCTTATCCTAATGCAGGACCGTTTGTGGAGGAAGACTCGTTCACCGAACCAGGGCTCCTCCTGTACAGGAAAGGATCCAAACAGAAACTGGGCATTCGAATGGGGAGGTTGGTATTTTTCTTAAATCTCGTTTCACTGACAAGAAAGGATAGAGAGAAAGGGTTCTTCTCAGTAAGGGGTTGTCTGGGGTGCCAAATTCTTTTTCCTACGAGGAGAGAGGGGGTTGCTGTCCAGGGTGACAGTATGGGATTCTACGCCTTCTTACAGCTTGCATTATGCTAATTGATCATGTGCTGTTTTCATATTCATTGAATAGTCAGTAAAAGCGGGAAAAAGACAGGAAGATAAAGGCAGGGGGGGGGGGGGGGGGGGGGGGGGGTCCGAAAACGATATCTTAATCCTGGTATATTCAATGTAAGCATATACACATAAATGACATGTTCGCTCTATATACAGGCGTTGGTACCAGTCCCTGGCCGTGCTCAGACAAGTTCCACGGTCCGAATCCACTCTCGGAGCCCGAGGTGGCCGCTGTGACCAGGTTCTTAAGGGGGCGCAAATCAGAGGGCCAGGACTTCATCGTCTTCATCGATTGGCACAGCTACTCCCAGAAGATCATCGCACCGTGGTCGTATAAGTCCGTCGGCACCCGCACCGAGGACTATGATGACCAGGTAACATTATGATCTCGACGACGAAGCAGAGAAATGCCCTCCCTCTCCCACCTCTCCTGTATGACTAATTTTTCAATATAGTTTATGTATCATTGTGGATGTAGATATTCTCAGTAAGCCAACAAAGGAAAATGTAAACAAATTAGAAAGTTTGAAAACAAATCCATGAGACCAAAAAAAAAACACAAAGAAATACACAAGAAAAGATAGGAAGAAAAAGAATCATGTTCGTATGGTGGGTCGTCGGTCCATTGTATCCGTTAAATATAAAAGTGTCTAAAAGGTCAACGAGACTGTCAATGTCGGTCTAGTGGGTTGTCGTCTGTCGGTCTTGTGGACATTCGGTCTTACGGTCTTTCGGTCTATTTGGATGACCCCCATTTAGTTTATTTCAAACAGAGGCCTAAATGTTAACCACATTATATCAAAACATGAACAGAGTTTGGCCAACGAAATTTGGCAAACTGAAACAGAGTTAGCCAAACCCTGTTTCTGAATAGTATATACACTTCGGTCTCACAACTTAAACACACGATACAAACAGATAAAAACATAACACCATTGTCAATCTTGTGATGAGCATTAGGATATTTTAAGCGGTGGGATTAATGTCGATAACCTGATTATCGTGTTGGAGTTATTTCTTAATCCAATTTCTATCTATTTTATTATCAGATGGCCTTCGCTCAAGCTGTCGCAGATGCGATCAACGGTGTCCATGGCACAGTGTTTACCTATGGAGCCGGTGCAGAAATCATGTGTAAGATATCAGTGCTTCAGGTTGTTTGATTAATAGAGAAATTGTACTTCCTCTTTCAACAATATTGTTTTATAAAATATACAGAAGTGCTACGAAACGATAAAAAAGATAAACAAATAAAACGTTACTTATAAAGCGCTTATACCACCGAAATCTCAGTGCCATTATGATGTTAATCAATATTACAAGAGCAAACATGACTTTCAATCATCAATAGTATTTACGTTGTTCTTTTAATTTCCAGACGCGGCGGCAGGATCGAGCAAAGACTTCGGTTACGCGGACTTCGTCGCGATGGGCGAAGATACGGACGGCGGCCTCGGCTGCAAGTATTCGTACACCATCGAGCTCCGAGACACGGGCGAGTACGGACAGCTCCTACCGGAATGGCAGATCCAGCCAGTCTACGAAGAGATCTACGCTGCCGTGCGCGCCATGGGCGACCATATCTTGAGAGAACTGGGTTTCATCGCATGAGCTGGAAATAATGAATATATGAATGGTGGATGGATGAATACACAAATTTTTTATTGAATAAATGCATAAATAAATGAATGAATAAATGGATGAATAAGTAAATGAATAAATAAATATGTATAAAGCGAATAAATTATTTAAAAAAACACACAACTAAAGTGTCGAGTTTGTCACCATTCTAGATACAACGTATTTGAAATAAGATATCAACATCATATTGATTTGCATTAGGTCATTATAGATGAATGTTATTACTGGCGTAGATAAGCCGAGCCGTGGAGGGGCACTTTTCATGGGGGAGGGGCAAGCCAGACTGATTAAATGAATGTAGTGTGATTTACCAAGATCATAAAATTCTTTCGTTTTCCGTAATAAACACTTCATTATTCAGAAAAAAAAAGTTTCATTTCATTATTTTGGGGTCTTCATCTCATTGATCAGCGAGAGGCAAAGAGATGGGAAGAGGGGAGTGAGAGTAGAAGAGGATGTAAGAGAGAGAGAGAGATATATGGGGTGAGAGAGACACAGAGAGGGAGAGAGAGACTAACATATAAAGAGACAGACAGACAGACACAGAAAGACACAGACAAACAAACAAAGAGAAACAGACATAAAGAAAGAGAGAGGGAGAGAGAGAGAGAGAGAGAGAGAGAGAATAAAAGTGGGTTACGATACTGTCAACATTATCCTGTTCATCCTTTACAGCAGTATTGACGAGCTTTTTAAGCCATGCACTTAGTTATACTGAACAGATTTGACAGGAATTTTTTATATTTTTTAAATAGGTGACTTTTGGAATATAGTGGAAAGTGTTATAAACCATTTCCAAACTCTTGTTTGTCAATCACTTTCTCTATACCCAAAGAATTACAGCCGTTACGATCAAAGAAACTATTCATAATTCAAAACAATATGACAAGACAGTGCATGCATGCTGTATTCCTGTCGGTGACCTTTGCTGTAAACTTTAGGCAACGCTTGCCTGTCGGTGACCTTTGCTGTAAACTTTGGGCAACACTTGCCGCCATGAATATCGATATCGTCATTTATCTACATTTAGATAGCTGAGATTATAATTATCATGATGGATCATTCTGTCATAATAATTATATCAGATAAGAAGAGACCCGTTACTGAATTGTTTTAAATATACGTCCTCATTCTACGGTTATGCCTTACATCGTAGGCGAGTATTCTTTGAATCTTCGCAATCATGAATTTTGTGGGAATATTTTTTCTCCTGGTGTTGGTTGCTTGTGTTGCAGATGCCAAATATGAAGGGTACGTATGATTAAAATAATTCGTAATGATTATATCCGTCTTTTACTCTATGTCTGTGTTTGTCATTGATTATATCTCTTCTCTGCTCTAGTTCCGTCCTCTCTCTCTCTCTCTCTCTCTCGTTTCGTCTCCTGAGAAGAATTAATGAGACATGTACATAGAGGTACATGTTTCCCGATACTTTAATCCATCCAACAAGTAACTAAATTTTGAATTTTAGATAGTGAATGAAAACATTGTAAAGTGTACAATATGGGACATAAACTTTATGATGCAGCTATGAAGCTATAAAGCCATGAAGCTATGAAGTTCAGGCAGAAACGAGAGTGCGGAAGAGGAAATTCTGATTAACTGACTACCGTCATTGCATTTTATTAATGAATGTTCACTGTTTCGTTTCAAGTTACCAAGTATGGCGGATAACACCAGTAACCGAGCAACATCTTGAATTGCTGAGTGACCTTGAACGGACTAGAGGTGAAGAGGTAAGGAAAGGGGTCCTATCCGAGGGATGGCGTGTGACAAAATATGGCTTTGAGGCAAAGTGGGAGGAAGCGCCACCTTTTTATCTATGTTTGCTGAAATGCAAGAGTACAAAAGTACAAGGGTATGGAGGGGTTTTAATCGGGCCAAATTCACATTACCTTACCCTCTATTTTTCTCTTTTCTCGCTCTTTTTTCTTTTCTTATTTTTCTCGCCTTTTCCCTTTGTTGTCACCATCCAATTTGGGACACATTCCCCTGTATTTATACCACTGTCTGATAATTACACAATATTACAATTACTATAGGCCACTGTGTAAAGCCAAATCTAACCGAGAATTATACTTCAGATTACAAAGCTGCTTTAATCGTGAGAACTTTTCCAGCTGGTTAATTCAGTATAGGCGCTCGCTTAATCTCGTTTTTATTTGAACAACATTATTATTCGATAAGCGGTAAAACTACGTGGGTTTGTTACCCGTGATGGGCCATTCAGCCACAAATAATAAGACCCGTTATTAACCGCATCTCCCGATAGCACACTATACATGTTATACTGTCATTATATTCCCATAGTTTTCCAAGGTAAAATACGTTAATATTTTTAATTGATAGACCAGTTACTTACTATACACCACCCAATGAAATCAATAACGATATAGCCTATATAGCTGTCAAACATCAATTATCAGTTAATTAACATTTGGCTAACAAACAGTAGGCGAAATAATATTGATGGTTGAATAAATGAACAACCAATATCATTTATATCACCAATCTAAAAAAAAATAGCCAATATCATTATAAACCAATCCGTCAACAATCCCAGCCAATAACAATTATGTTATTAACTAATTTCTACCTTGATTCATTTCGATCTTTTACTTTTGTCATTGTTTTAACAGTTTGATTTCTGGACCCCTGTCCTTAAAATACGAAATCACCCTGTCGATGTAATGGTACGACCCGAGCTCCAGGCCCCTCTGCGCATGCTCTTGAAGCATAAGGGGCTGGGTTTCGATGTCAATATAGATGACGTCAGCGTACTTGTGTCCAATCAGATGTCAGAAATATCAGAAAGGCGGGAAAGAGAGCGATTGAGTGGGACTGCGTTGAGTACCTTCGACTATAACGTCTATCATCCTTACAACGAGGTAATTGATTAAATGGCATTTGTTCACGCCCTGAAGAAGAAAACAAAATCCCGATGAAATGATGTATAAAATCGTTGCAAATATATTGGAAGAAGCCTATTTTTTTCTGCCTGATTATCCTGCAAAGAATAACATGATTGTATTGTCACAAATTTGTATTTTTGTTTACACCTTTCGCAGTCTATCTATGCCACCAATGGTTTTTCAAGTGCAAAAACATACCCGCGTGATAATGTTGCAATTTTATATAATTAGCTCTCTTCCCTGAACCCTGATTTTTTTTTTTTTTTTTTTTTTTTAAATGTTAAATAGATTCAGCAATGGGTTGATGACATAGCTAGTGAATATAGTCATATCGTCACACCGTTCCTACTTGGAGACTCGTACGAAGGACGACCCATTAAAGGAATCAAGGTTTGTAAAATATATATTTAACATATTAGTTTGATTAAAGTCCCACTGCATTACTTATAGCTACTTGCGCCCTCTATATAACAAACAATGCATAATCGGTGACCATTGGTCCCCCATGATCCTCTTTTTCTCATGTTAATTCAGAGCTGATTTGATGAGATAACCACCTGTCCAGTGACCTTGCAGGGTGGTCTAAGAACGAGCTCTTGTCAAATGGAATATATTTGATCACGTTCTCATTCGACATAAAAGTAACATCACACTGGCAAAGTCGGATAAAACCCAAATATTACTAGAGATTCTTAAAAATTAAAGTTCCCTTTTTTGTGTGTAGTCCTTTAACTTGTTTATAATTATGTGACAATATTGCTGCCATTGTATATGATTTTTCAGCGAGATTTACTTAATTTCATCACTTTGATGATTTCAAAACCGCACAATAATGTCTCCATAAACATTCTTACTTCACAAATCAATCTCCCCCATTAACTTCTAACTAGACGAAGAGGACAACAAAGCTGAATATGGTATAACGGTACAAGCAGGGGCGTCGCTCAGTGAGGGGGAAGGGGGGGGGGGGTGTAGAGGCCACCGATTACCGACAAAACTAGCCACCAAATACCGACAAATATATCAATGCCAATGTGCCAATGTCTACAAATTTAACCCTATATTTATTTTACCAATGATGAATGACGAAAGTGTGATGAGGCCAGTATATTTACGCTTTATAACACTGCCTTTGAACCAATGCTGTTGGTTTTACAGATTCGAGGAACTGGAAGCCAGTCTGCTAACCCACCAGCTGTCTGGTTTGAGGGCGGTATTCACGCTCGAGAATGGGTCTCACCCGCTACTGTCATGGGATTCACTCAAAAGGTACAGGAGAGAGAGAGAGAGAGAGAGAGAGAGAGAGAGAGAGAGAGAGAGAGAGAGAGATAGTGGGAGGGGAGTGAAAGAAAGAAATGAAGAAAACGTACGTGGAGAGAAGAAGAGGGAAAAGTGAGAGCTGTGGAGACAAAGAGAAAGGGACAGAGCTAAGGGGAATGGGGAAAGAAAGAGAAGGAGCTGGAGGAGAGAGAGAGAGAGAGAGAGAGAGAGAGAACGAAGAGGGGGGGGGGGGGAGAGAAAGAGAGACAAAGAGTCATAGGTATAGACTGGGATAGGGATATATATATATATAGAGAGAGAGAGAGAGAGAGAGAGAGAGAGAGAGAAAAAGAGATAGAGAGAGAGAGAGAGAGAGAGAGAGAGAAAAGAGATAGAGATAGATAGAGAGAGAGGGAGAGAGAGAGAGAGAGAGAGAAAAGAGATAGAGATAGATAGAGAGAGAGAGAGAGAGAGAGAGAGAAGAGAGAGGGTGGGCAAACATTACAAAAGAATTAGTTCTTCCTATAGCTTGAAAAGTGTCACAAATCTACATTTTTAAGTGTTAATTTTATACTCCAGCTCTCATTATTGTTGAAACTAGAATTTTCAAGCATTTTTATTTCTTTTGGGTTGTTTGCCTGCCTGTCCGTTTCCTTCCATTCATTGTATTCCCTTTTTCCTCCCTTTTTTTTTAAAGCTTCTGGACGAGTACGACAACGGTGACGACCTAGCTGTCAAAATGTTCGACAACCTAGACTGGTACATCGTCCCATCTCTGAACGTTGACGGATATAGCCACACTTGGTTATCGGTATACAATCATGTCAAAATCTCCATTCTCCTCGTACTAGTATAGCAGGCGAAATATTGATTCCAAAAAAGCGATCCGTGAAAATTCAGATCGCATCAATAAATGTTACTTTTGATAAGTGTTACCGAATTATATCTTGCTATATTGTTATGTTCACTGACGTTTTTGTACACTGAAAGAATAAAAAAAATTACGATAATGACTACATTCATCTAATCTAAACAGTCAACGAATATACAAACAGATTTATATTATCTTTTCCAAAATTAATTTCTAAATTTTGACGAGACGAAATTAATTAATCTAACTACAGAAGAGACAGAATATACTTCATTGATCATAATTTTCATTTCGTACAATATTTATTACAGATAGAGATACTTTCTCTAAACAGCTGATGCTTAAAAAAAAAAAAACCAGTTATTAATTTATCTTCTATTAGTTAATGAATAAATCAATCGATTCATTTAATTATTTATTAGTTTGTTTTCATTTATTATTGATTCATTCATTCATCTATTAATTGATCTATTCATTCATTAACTTATTTATCTACTTATTTATTTAATCACGTTGCTGTTTTCCAGGATCGAATGTGGCGCAAGACCCGGTCATCAAACCTTGCCTCACCTTGCACTGGTACGGACCCAAACAGAAACTGGCCCTACGAATGGGGAGGTATGCCGTCGGAAACGTCCCTAACACCCTAAACCTAACTATTAAAGGGAATACGAAACTCGAAGAGGTAGAGGTGTCGTGGTCTAGTGGATTGGTCACCGGACTGTGAATCACATGGTTCGCGGTACGAGTCCCTCCGTGGCACCAATGTTCTTTCGCAAGACATTAATCTATATTTGCCACTCTCCACACAAGTGTTAAATGGGAACCTGTTGGTGCGAACGTTGATGTGGTTGGATTGGCATGTGTATATATGCATGTAAAATGGCGTCTGGCTGGAATACTACCCAGGGAGCGGAACGTGTACACAATTATGCAGATAATCAATTTAATCCAATGACCGGGGTAATAATGATTACAATGTAAAGCGCTTGGTATAACGTATTATTAAGCGCCATACAAAATAATGTGACTATTATTATTGCGAAAGGGGTGCACAGACTAGATAACATCCTATACAAAAACTACTTGTTGTTTTTAATAAGTCAATTGAAGTGACAGCTGGCCGATCAACAGAACGCACTTAAAATTAATTTCCTTTCTCATTTTCTTTATTTTTTCCGGGAGGGGCTCTTTTTTCTCTGTTCCACCTAATAGCTTTGCCACTTGCAGAGGTTGTTCAGAAGACAATCATGCCTTCTGAAAAGATTCAAGCCAAATTCCTTATACACGTATCAAACCTCAAAGTTCTTATGTGTTTATGCAGGTGTCGGGGCCAGCGCATGGGAATGCTCCGAAACCTACCGCGGCTCAAATGCTCTCTCCGAGATCGAAGTCGAACACGCCGTCAGTTTCTTACGGGGGAAGAAGGCCGATGGGCAAGACTTCATGGTGTTCATCGACTTCCACAGTTACTCTGAGGTCATCATTGCACCTTGGTCGTACCTCGACTCTAATCCTCGCACCGAAGACTTTGACGACCAGGTTAGTCTCTTGGAAACATAATAAGTAAAATGAATAAATACATAAAAATTTTGGACTGTTCATTTGAATTCACCATTTGTATAATGACGTCACTCCCATGCGGAGTGACGCAGTTGTACATCAGCAAAATGATGTCTCGTCTTACAGACCAGGCGCGTACGCAGGGAGGGGTGGGGGGAGGGGGTTACCCCCCCCTTTTAACTTTTTTAATGTGTATGTTTTGGAAGAAACACCCCCCTTTTTTTGTTAAATAAAAATAAAAATAATAACAAAATAAAATTAAAAAAGTGGTAATGGGTGACCCCAAAAGCCGACCTACCCCCTCACCCCAAAAAAGTGTGCTCTTACTCCCTCCCCCCCCCCCGCTTATTCAGCGGCTAGCTGAGTCGTTGATAAATTTTTGGGACCCCTCCCCCCCCCCCCCCCAAAAAAAAAAGATATGTCCTCTTACCCACCCGGGGGGGGGGGGGGGGGTGGGTAAGAGGACAAATCTTTTTTTTGGCCCTCCCCCCCCCTTTAAAAAATCCTGCGTACGCGCCTGTTACAGACTATATCATTACGGTATTCTTATATTCTACTTTTTTACAATCTTCGTTTGTAGTACTGTTATTGATCCCTAAGTCTTGGGTGACTATTAATTCCTTCTATTTTTTCCTCCACCATAGATGGTTTTGGCGTCGGCTATGCAGACCGCCATGATGGATGTGCATGGTGTCGAGTATAAGTATGGGGCCGGTGCCGAGATATTATGTGAGAAATTTGTTCCCTTTCTCTTTCTGTCTCTGTCTCTGTCTCTCTCTTTCTCTCTCTCTCTCCCTCTTTATCTTTCCTCCTCCTACCCCTTTTTCTTCTTCTCCTCCTCCTCCTTCATTCCCCTCCCCCTCCTCTATTCTTCCCTTCTTTTTCTTCTTCTTCATTTTCTTTCATCCTATTCATCCTTTTCTCTTCCTTCCCTCATGTATCTCCTGACTGATGAAATCCCCTTTCTCGACTCCACACCTACTCTTGTTTTGCCTTCTTATTTGGGAGTATATTTGGAAACTGAAAACGCCTGTAAAAATCCTGAAAATGGAAGCCTTCATGATTTAATGTCTCTCGTTTCCTAACATCCTTGCATTATTCATAACTACCTTAAGCTTGTTATTTGGTATGATAGTGTGCTAGATTATTATTTTCTAAGAACGCCATAGTTTTTTTTTTCCTCGGATCTCCGACATTATCCTCCGCCACCAGTTTCTCCGGACTTGATTGTGTCAGAGGTGTAGGGTATAGGGTTAGAGTTCAAATTTGGTTTGGGTTAAGATTATGGTTAGGGTGAAACGTTCGTCAAACCGACGAGACCGATATCATACCTACAGCAGAACGACCCCCACCCCTCCCCATTAAAAAAGGGTTGAAATATGCATACTATATTAATGTATATACACTTCGGCCAACAATAATTCGGTTAGGAGTCCGTCTCATGTCGGTTTTACAGAGTTTGGTCCAGGGCTGAAGTTATGAATTCGATTAGTGTATATACCCGGTTGCCCAGAAAGTTGGAATAACTTTTCTTTGCCTCTTTTCACGAAATAATTGTGACGATATGATTTTCTTGTTGATATCTTCTAAGAGCTTCATTTATCTATAGAGTCATATAGATGGCTCAATAAAGCTCAGAGAAGATGTCCATCAAGAATAAATCATAATGATAAAATCATTTCATGAAAAAGGGTTGGGTTAAGACAAATTATCCCAACTTAACGGGCAAGAAGTGTATCATGTACATCGTATATCGACCGTGGAGCAATGTCACAGAATCAGTTGTCGTGGAACATGAGGAGATCCTCCAGTTTCAGAGAACAGTATTTTTTCTTTCCAGATGCCTGCTCGGGTGTGACCAGTGACTGGGGTTATGCCGCCTTTTCCCGATTCGGAGACGACACCCAAGGAGGACTGGGGGCCAAGTATTCCTACACCGTGGAGCTCCGTGACACGGGCGAGTACGGGTTCCTGCTCCCCGAGAACCAGATTCAGCCCACCTACGAAGAGAACCACGCTGCCGTGCGCGCTATAGGGGCCCATGTCCTGCGCGAGCTCGGAGTCACTGTTTAATAAACGTTTAGTAACATCTTTAAGCCAACTACATTGTCAAAAATATCTATCGAAATATGAAAGAATTTGCTCAAGTTTGATCAGGAAAGGTCTTGCTAGGGACACATATCAGAATTTATTAACATGAATGGTTTCTCTTAAATTGAGTCTCTGACGTTATTCAATTCATCGTAAATATTCATTGTAATGAGTTTAGTTAAATTGACGAGTTTTGGGTTAAGAAAAATGTTAATAGCTGTTCCTTTGAAATAAATGAATCGGTTGTCAGGAAAGTGCATTATATAGGCTTTATTATATAGCAGGCTTGATTTCAATGGCGTATCCCGAATGGGGCGGGGGCGGTGTCCCAAGTTTGAAGGCCCCTAAAACAACACAACACAAACTAAACAAACAAACTGACAACATTCATTAAAGTTTTTATCTGGCATTTTTTGCAAAGCCAGATATTATGGTTAATCATTAACCTTAAAGTAATGCATTGGAAATCATACAGTCATTATGTATTTTGTTTTGGATGTGGAAAAAGGGGAATAAAACTACGATATGGACAAACTGAACGGATACATTTAATTTCTTCACATAAAGACGTTTATATAACAATCTCATTGAGTGCAAAAATTTCTTTTCACGACTGTGTCACGCCTTATCATCAAGAGCTGGCTGTTTATGAATAATTCATGAAAGTTGTACGCTCATTAAAAAAAGGAAGTGATATTTAAAAATGTATGATTGTTGTTAGGGAGGAGCAAAATGGATGAATTCAGTAAGCCGCACAGAAAGAGTGTGGAGGTGCATGAGGAAGAGGAGGAAGAGGAGGAGGAGGAGGAGGAGGAGGAGAAGGAGGAGGAGGAGGAGGAGGAGGGGAAGGAGGAGGAGGAGAAGAAGGAGAAGGAGGAGGAGGAGGAGGAGGAGAAGGAGGAGGAGGAGGAGGAAAAAAGATGGGTTGAAGAGAGAGTGTATAAGAGAGAGGGGAGTAGGGATGGGAGAGAAAGAAGGGAAAGAAGGAGAGAGAGAGAGAGAGAGTGAGAGAGAGAGGTGGAATGGTCAAAGAGAGCCTAGTGTAAAAGATATAGACAAAGGGAGAGAGAGATAGAGAGAGAGAGAGAGAGAGTGAGAGAGAGAGGGGGGGGGGGAGATAAGGGGGAAAGAAAAGAGACGACCAAGAAAGAGAGGAAGATAAGGGGGAAAGAAAAGAAGAGAGGGGAGAGAGGGGTAGGGAGATAAAGAGAAAAATACAAATACAGAGGGCTAAGGAGAAAGATATAGAAGGAGAGAGAGAGAGAGAGAGAGAGAGAGAGGAGAGAGAGAGAGAGAGAGAGAGAGAGAGAGAGAGAGCGGTATTGTAGTTGTTTTTGATCGGTTTTAAGGTTGTCCAATCTGCAATGACTATTTCCGCCTATGTCAGATATTTTCCATCGTTTGCAAGTCGTGCAAGTCATTCAAAGACAAATGTTTGCATAAAATAGGCTGGCACATTGTTATTGAAATGTCTCACGCTTAAAGAGGACTATTTGCATAACAAAGTCTGACATAATGCCATTCAAACTACTCATGTTTAAAAGAAGACATGACTACAGATTTCACGGCTTTACATATTCCAATACTGTTTCTCTTTAAAAATGTTTAGTCCCTGATATAATTATTCTTCCTATCTGCTGATTAATTTCCACCTATAATGTATCCAGTGAAACCGAAGGGGGAAAACATGGGAAAATCCTAACAGGCTGTAAAATTTTGTATCAATAGGCATTTTGATAATAGCCCTAACTGTTATGAGATGCATGATAGATTTGTTTAAGAAACGGGGATGACCTTCACGTAGTTATCTTTCAAGTTTCTCTAGCAGGGTCTCGTATCCGAAGTCGGACGCGAGTGCCCCCAAATCTTACAAAAGTCAGAACATACACATCTCTATCACTTCCTTTAATATCACTTTCTTCTTATTATATTCTGTATGAAATCATACTTTCTTTGATAGGCGTACTTCTTGCGCCCCGGGCTCTAACAGTAATACTATAGTGTTCTAACAGTGTTAAATTGACAAATTCAAACTGATTGTAAACTTCTCCAATGTGGGTGACATGAGAATAACTTGTCATTGTCATAACATCTCTATATAACAGAGCTGATGGGGCTTTGGAAAGTCAGTTTAATAACTAATCGGGGTTAAAAAAAAAATATTACGACCCCCCCCCCCCCAATACATTCACACGTTCTATTTGTATTTTTGTGGACTCAAATAAACCAATTATCAAATCAACTATGAATATTTTTGACAACAACTACCCCCTTTTTTAAAATACAATTTTAGAATGTAAAACTCAAAGCATCATATTTCTGATCATCATCTGAAGTCACCCCCCTCGTTTAAAAAGGGAGGCTTTGGTTATTGAATCTTCTCGGTGGGCATTGCTAATTAATAACTATACCTGTTTAAAAGATTTAAATTGCATCTACATGCATTAAAGTCTTGATCTATTCCTACGGAATTAACAAATATGTTTCATACTAACAGTACACAGCGCTAAGGTGAAATTAATTTGGTATGATACTACACGCCATGGAACTAATTAAATAATAATCATTTACTAATGGCACCGTTGAGTACCATGCTTATCGTGATAATTTACGTGTACAAAGCTCTTTAATGAACTTCTGTTATAAAAAATACTTCAAGTACTCGAATACAGCCGGTCTATTTCCCACTCATGAGTACAAGTATCTGCATTTCGAATTATAATCAGTAATATATTCTGTAAACAGACCGATGCTTTATCATCTTAAACCCTTAAATTAAGCGCTTTGACCGAATGTTACCATTCCCACACGGTATAATCCAAATATCTAATTGATGGCCATTGGTTCCTTTACCAGATTATTATTATTAATTGACTGAGTATAATTATTCAGCGCATTACAGGCATATCCCTGGCATCCCTATAGGTAGCCCTATTACAAAATACCACATCCTCGTTGCAGTTAACCGTGGTAACATTCAAAAGTACATTCTAGGGAATTTTGATATTCATAGGAATCAAGTGATATTTTTGGTTTGAAAAATCGCCAAAAATATTGCATGATGACTTGGCTGAAAGGAATAACGCTCATGTTTGGGATTTTGTCGGTATTTTCTGGATCCATACTTGCCGTTCTCGGTCCGGGACGGAAATATGATGGGTAAGTTGTCAACTAAATTAAGATTAACACTTTCCAGACTTCAGTTTCCTTAAAGAATCATCGAATACATGCGTATAGGCGTACGATGCGAGGAGAAGGGGGCGGGAAGGGGAGGCCATCCCAGAGAATTTTGAAATTACCAGTATAGAAGTAGTGGTGGTTATTTTTACCTGACTGCTAAAAAAAAGCATAAATGCTTGTTAGTAAGCAGCCAGAGGACTGACAGCTTTAGGTCCTCTCCGAGGGACCGGGTAATGAGGATCAATGCCTTACCAAACTTGGTTTCGAATCCGGGTCGGATTACGAGACCACTGCTCTACAAACTGAGCTATCGCGCCCCTTTAAGCAAATGTCGTCCGGCATATTCGGGCACCCCACCTAATATTCGGCCAGTGGGGTGGACTGTTAGTAGTTTCTTTATCTTATCTAATACATTACGGTGAAAAATACATTTCACTACCTAATAATAAATAATGTTCTCAACCGTCTCGCCAGCTCCTAAAATTCAGTTGATACTCGGTCCAGCAACGTCAATCTTTTGCGAAATTGTACCCGTGAAGCCATAGATATTTCAATACCCTATTGCGTTTCTCATAGAAATCATGTCGCATTATGTAATAATCATTATAAATGTTCACTATTATTATTATTATTATTATTATGTATGTACATGTTAATAAGTGATGGACGAAGGTACTGTAATTGCCTTAGTTTGATTTTTCTATACGATCGTGTGAAATAGTGTGGATAAGCTAGCTATATTAGCATCATATAAAATCTTCCCCCTCTCTCTCTCTCTTTCTCTCTTTCTCTCTCTCTCCCTCCCTCCCTCCCTCTCTTTCTCTCCCTCCCTCCCCTCTCTCTCCTTCTCTCTCTCTCTCTCTCTCTCTCTTTCTCTCTCTCTCTCTCTCTCCATCACCTCTCTCTCTTTTCATTCTTTTTTCTCCCATTTCATTCCAGATATCAAGTTTGGCGCGTGGTGCCGTCCAACGCTCATCAAATCAAAAGCCTCATCAGACTCGAGACAAACTTTGATGGATTCGATTTAGTAAGTTATTGAATTCCAACATTTTTTTGTTAACAAATTGAGAGAGTGGAGTGACTATAGAGAGAAAGAGAGAGAGAGAGAGAGAGAGAGGGGGGGGGGGAGAGAACGGGAGAGAAAAGGAATCACATGTGTAAGATTACTACAATTAATCATTGAAAGTACTATATTTTACAAGGGGCTATGTTACCTCAAAAAGACCCCCCCCCCCCCTAAAAAAAAAAAAAAAAAAAAAAAAAAAAAATTAAAAGAAATCCGTCCAGAGGATTTGTGACCTCAGGATAATAACAAAACAAGCATCAAAAAGCACTTTTACCCAAAATGCAAACAACAAATAGACAGAGAGAGACCCCATAAAATGCAACTGATGTAAAAACATATATTATATATACGGTATAATAATAATGATAATTCAAAAAACGATAATAATAAACAATGAAAATAAAACAACCACTAGACTTTCTTTGTTGCTTATAATTTGATTTTATTTAAATTCAAAATCCATTTTCTCTTGCAAGAATCAATTCAAGTCTAAAATAGTTACCACCAATGCTTACCTAACAATTCAGGAGTCAGCATTTAAGATATTTAGTGATCTCTAAAAGAGAAAATTTGTAAAGATAGAATGAGAGTCGGCGATAATAGGAGATAAATGAGAGATGGACGTCATAAAAATCTCCCCTTTTCACTTTTGTTCTACGTTTCAGACAAAAGAAATCATGAAATGAAGATAATAAGGTATGATTAAAAAAAAGACCTCACATAGGCGGGAAAATATCAATTTGGTCTCAAAAAATGACCCAGGCAACAATAATTTCACTAGGCTGACGAAATCCGAGCTAGAACTATTTTCTAGATGGATTTTGGATGGCGTATAGTGAGACGTATTTCAGAGCTTCGTACGTCTCTATACCCGAGTCATCGATTTGGGTTGGGCTGATAACGAAGGAGGTTCCACGGAGCTCCACAGCGTAGGAGTGGACGATACCTAACGCTCCATACGTCCAATCCACACTCGAGCCGTATGCTTGGTCTATTTGATCAAAGACAGAGAAAGAATTGTTTTGAATTATTTATTACTATTATTATGATGGTTATTTTTAATACTGTCATCATCGTTTTCATTATCTTATTATTATTATTATTAGTATTATTACCTAAATTATAATCATTATTATTTTGCTTCTTCTTCTTCTTCTTCTCTTTCTCCTTCTTCTTCCTCTTCTTCTTCTTCTTCTTCTCCTTCTTCTTCCTCTTCTCCTTCTTCTTCTTCTTCCTCTTCTCCTTCTTCTTCTTCTTCTTCTTCTTCTCCTTCTTCTTCTTCTTCTTCTTCTTCTTCTTCTTCTTCTTCTTCATTGTCTTCTTTGTCTTCTTCTTCTTCTTCTTTTTCTTCTTCTCCTTCTTCTTCTTCTTCTTCTTCTTCTCCTTCTTCTTCTTCTTCTGCTTCTTCTTCTTCTTCTTCTTCTTCTTCTTCTTTTTCTTTTCTTCTTCTTCTTCTTCTTGTTATTATTATTATTATTATTAGTAGTAGTAGTAGTACAGTATTAGTACTATTATTAGTTGTAGTATTAGTAGTAGAGTAGAAGTAACAAAAAACTTTACTCACAGATAACGTTGGCGATAGAGCCAGTCTTGTACGATCTATTACCCATGGCTGATACGGCACTGTCTGATACAGATTTCTGAAAATAAACACGAGATACGACGTCCATACATGAATTAAAAAATCCGGGTTTCGCAAGGATGATACTAACAGATACTTTATCAATATTCGTCTAGCCCTAGCATCTAGCTGTAAATATACGCCCAATGACGATGTCGATTTCAATTGTCACTATGCAAATCTAAACTTTTAACACCATGACACCCTAATCTGTATACCGAGGAACCCATCTACCTTACCTGGGTCGAATGTGACGAATGTAGATGAATGTCTTGCTAAAGGACATTACTGCCGCAGTGGGACTCGAACCGCGGACCATGTGATCCACATCCCGGTGTCGTATCTACTAGATCACGACACCTCTATACTGAAGGTTATTCTAAATTCTCATGGATCACCCCTTTTGGGGGGGGGGGGGGGGGGATCTGGGCCCCATGTCACCAAACTTGTCATCAGTGACAAATGACAATTTCTATTATAAGCTAGTGAAATCCTTGCTTCTGATTGGTTATCAGCAGACTTTTCACTGATTTTTTTTTCTTCATTTGTCATTGAAAAAAGGCTTTGTTGAACGGGTCCCTGCACCGGCTACCAGTACACCAAAGAATGTCATTTAAGATTCTGTTGATTGTCTGTCAAGCGTTAATTGCTCAAGTGCCTAGATATTGTAGAACTGCTAAAACTCAAGTCTCACAAATATACTCACAACCTGCGCAGCTCCCAATAATACTTATTGCAAACCCCATCACTTAACCCCTAAAGTATCATTGGGACATCGAGCATTCGCATGCGCAGGCTCAAAACTGTGGAATAACTTACTATTACATATTAGGACATCACCATTTTCATATCAAACTAAAGGCACATTTCCACATTTAACTTTATGTTGTAGATTTAAACACATCAGGGGAGTGTTTCACAAAGACTAAGATCGACTTTAAGTTGGACTTAACTATGGCAGGCTAGTCATGCCACTGCTTGCTCTCACAATTTACTGGCATAGGTCTCTCAAGGGACGAACAAATCATGGTCACAAATCTACAGAATTTATATTTTTCGATAATTCATTATTGAAGGACAAATATTATCCAAAGATCATAATTGAGAGACCAATGGTGAGAGCAACCATGGCATGAATGGCCTGCCATAGTTAAGTCCAACTTAAAGTCGATCTTAGTCTTTGTGAAACACTCCCCATGTGCTCTTGCAGCGCTGTAGAATATAAATATATAGCATTAGTATTGATATTAGTACCTGGACGGTATAGTCTGTTGGTAAAGATTCGGTATAACCCCACGGAGTCATCCACATCTCTCCGTATGCGTGGAAGTCAATGAAGGCCTCGACGCTGTTGAGATTGGTGATGTAATCCGTCACGGTCTCGACTTCGATCTCGGACCAGGGATGGGTTCCAGGGTAGGACTCAGAACACTTCGAAACTTTTGCGACTGAGGAAAAGTAAATGATAACAACTTATACCGTTTCTAATTTAAACTGTATTCATTATTCATAATTCTTGTATACATCTATTTTTTTATTTGATTCAATTTATCAATTAATTGATTGATTGATTTGATTAAATTTATCAATTAATTGATTGATTGATTTGTCTAATTAATCAATTAATTTATTCATTTATTTAGATATTCATTCACTTATTCATTCGTTTATTTCATCTGCATATTTTTTGTTTTTGTCCCTTAAATTTCGCAACGACTCAGCCAGCCGCTGAATAAGCGAGGGGGGGGGGGGGGGGGGGGGGGGGGGGGGGGGGGGGGGGGGGGGGGTAAGAGGACATTTTTTTTGTTCGGTCCCAAAAATTTCGCAACGATTCAGTCAGCCGCTAAATAAGCAGGGGGGGGGGGGGTAAGAGGTCATATTTTTACGGTTACCCAATTTTCTTCTTTTTTTTAAATAAAAAAAAAAAAAAAGGGGGGGGGGGGTTGTGCGTTATGCTTTTTTAAATATAAGAAACATTTTATATTTACCCCATTCGTAGTCCCAGTTTCGGTTAGGGTCAGTTCCGACGCAAGTGGAAGCTGAATTAGGGCTGCGGGTCTTACGCCACATACGATCCTAAGTAGAGAGCAACAGAAAATAATCACATAAACCTTGTTTCACTGAAAGCTCGAAACAATTTGTAGATATATATACCTGTACATTCATTTAATATGCTTATTATGTGCGCACGCATTATCGGTCCCAGTTTCAAGGAGCAAACACCACGGAAAGTTAATTTCTTTTAATTATAAGGTTTGCTTATCATTATTATTTTGTCAGGTGGTGAACGATCACCTACATTAATCAAAACCTTCTGGGCATAAAGATTTAAAAAGTAGTAGTAGTAGAAGTAGTTCAGATTCCGTCCGTTTTGATACGTTTTGTATTTTTCAATCATCTATGTCCTCCTCCCTTACACCATGGACCTTTTACGGATGGACATTCATCGTTTTCTTAACGAATTTATTGTGATTGTCTCCGTCAATGTCGTCTCAATAACATTCCCTATATGTTTCTTCACTTTGATCTCATGATGGTCACCGCCAAAAAGCCGGGACAGAATCAAGATAGTGATTTTACACATGTTAATCTACATGCGCAGAAGATAATAACTCGCCTAAATCATGGAAAAATCGATGTGCAGTTCTGGCTTATAATCGGAAATTGTTGTTCCGTGTACTGTACATGTATTTTATTTTGAAAAACATGTTGATATTACCAGATAGAGGTTATTTTTGGATTTTGGGGTTGTGATTTAAAATCCCGTTTCCCCCTATTTCCTCATAATATTCCAGAGTTACCAAGCACAGGGCTTATAAAGATCATGGCCTTCTAACTGTTTTATAAGGTCATGGGTGCGTGCGAAAGTGTGCGATTCAGTAATAATACCTTTCATATCACCAAAATCGTCTGCTTTTCAACTTTGCTGCTCCCCATTGGGGATGCTTTCATTTAAGACACACTCTTACAGAGCACACCATCCAAACAAAACCCAATAGAGGGAAACTGCTCCTTTGTCAATGACCGAAAAGGCTTACGCAGTGATTATTGTTAAAACAGCTGAATGTTCTCATTAAGATGCACATAATCAGAAGGCGGCGACTATCATTGGATCAAAGAAAGAATCACGTTGAATGTCCATCCGTAATAGGTCCATGCTTACACGCATCCCACACTGATCGCGCACCCCCCCCCCCCAAAAAAAAATACACACGTCGAATGAATGGCAAGGACTGTCTCAATGTTAGCGTTAGATGCGTGTCGTTTTCTCAGCTGCTTGGGTGAGCGAAATGGAAACAGTCCAGGCAGTGGAATATAGTAGTAGTAGTAGTAGTAGTTGTAGTAGTAGTAGTAGTAGTAGTAGTAGTATTATTATTATTATTAGTAGTAGTAGTATTAGTATTGGTAGTAGTAGTAGTAGTAGTAGTAGTAGTAGTATTAGTAGTAGTAGTAGTAGTTGTAGCAGTAATGATAATAATAATAATAATAATAATTATTATTGTCATTAGCATTATTATTATTTTCACCATAATTTTTAGTATATCATTATCATTATCATTATCATCATCAGTATTATTGTTGTTGTTGTTGCTATAATTCTCATTATCATTATCATCATAAGAAAGTAAAAGAATTGTACTCACAGAGGTCCAAGTAAACTCGTATCCGTCGACGTTATAGACAGGCAAGATGTACGTGTGTAGCTCCTCTATCATCGTAGTGGCGTCTTGGTCATTCGAATCGTATCCATCAAGGAGCTACGTCACAAACGAAATACAGCGGAAACAAATCAGTAGTTTGCAGGCACAAACTTTCTAAAGTGATGCTTTATTTCATATAATTTGTATTTTTCTTTTTTGAAATTTATTTATTATATACAATTTGTATTTTTTTTTTTAATTGATTTATTATATATAAAAATTTTTTTGGTGTGAAATTTATTTATTATATATAATTTGTATTTTTCTTTTTGAAATTTATATATTTTATATAATTTGTATTTTTCTTTTTTGAAATTTATATATTATATATAATTTGTATTTTTCTTTTTTGAAATTTATATATTATATATAATTTGTATTTTTCTTGTTGAAAATGGAAATAAAAATTTGAACTTTGAACTTTGAACCTCGAACCCTCGTCAGTCAGTGCGTGACACGGAGTCTGATGTGCGAGACAACGCTGAAGACATACTGCATAGGCTCTACGTACTTTAATTGCTCTGGACAGCCAGAGACTGACAGACCTAGGTTCTGCTCAAGGTTTAAGAAGTTTTGGAAAATGTATCAAATTAGAGTCTGCCTTGCAGACTAGAAAAGAGATTCATTCCTATATATCGAATCTTCCTTCTTGATAAAAAATGTATACCATATTCTTCTTATAGAACAGATGTAACACTGTCGTTCTCATTAACAGGTAAAATGTGATCGCAAAGATTTTTGAAAAAATCAACCTGCGGCAATTTCGATTCCATGACATTTGCTCCGGCGACAATTGCTCCGCTGTAAATTTCATACACTAATCGAATGGCTAACTTCAACCCTGGATTCAACACTATACCCTACCCTAAACCTAACCCTAAACCTAACGTAAAACCCTATTGAAACCCTAACCCTAACCCTACATCTTAGACGAAATAAAGCCCGGAGCAATTGTCGCAGGAGCAAATGTCGTGTCACCGCAATTTCAACAGCAGTGTCCATCATCTTTGAAATATTTCTTTTCTTTTTTGCAATATTATTAAGAAGGAATCTCAAAATATTTGTTGGAAATAGTTCTTTCTGATGTAAAAAAAAAAGTGACATAGGCCTATGCAATATGCAAGGCCTAATGGTTTCAAGTTAGGGCAGCGGTCTCATAACCGGAAGGTCCCAGGTTCGAAACCAGGTCGATGCGCTTGTGCCCCTTCGTCAGGCAATAATCTTTAACACCAGGTCCCTCGGAAATGACTTAAAGCTGTTGATCTCCTGGGATGCTTTTTTGGCAGTCAGTTTAACCCAAACCTTTATACCGCCGAATAAAAAAGTTAAAGGTATGGCCTTCTAAAGACACTACTTCAGGTTTACGTATACTGCCATCTGCTGCTCACAATGTCACGATGTGTCGACATCCATGACCCACAATGCACCACTAACTGCATGACGCCCGCGTGATGTTGATTGGGTACATGAACCGTAAATCGCTCAATGTACGTCTTCGCCAAACGATTGCGCGATTGAAATAATATTACAGCGGTGGTAGAGATGTTGGTAAAATACTGCCTTTTAAGCCCGTCTGTACTAGTTTAGCCAGGAGGGATTAGACCTCCCTGCAAGGTCACTGACAGGTGGTTATCTCATCATATCAGCTCTTAATTAACATAAGAAAAAGGGGATCATGGGGGACCATCGGTCACCGATTAGACATTGTTTGCAATATAGAGGGCGCAAGTAGCTATAAGTAGTGCAGTGGAGCTTTAAGACGTAAATCATACCAAAGATGTATATGATAATATTAAAGGGGCACGCCAGTGTAGTTATCTAAACATGCCATCTGCGTAAGAGCCGTATTCTGTTGGTGTCAATAGGCAGCTATCGCGCCGTCCGCCAGCGCGTACGTATTTTGAGCGCCCTCTGGAATACGGGAAACATGCCCCTTTAAGCCTGATGATTGATGAACGTACCAGTTTGGTCATGTAGATCATTGTAGCAGGGGAGATCCATTCACGAGCGTGGATACCACCTTCGTACCATACTGACCTCTTCGAGTTACTAAACTGATTCGTTCCGATCTGTCAATGAAAAACAGGATACAATCAATAACAAATCAAACATTAATCAATCAATTCTTTTTAATTTGTCAAATTGACTAAATTCTTGTTTTAAAACGGAAATATGAAAGAAATTAAATCATGCATATGACCAAATTTTCACCGATTTTTGCAGTGTAAATTCCGCTCTCGAGACATCGGTGTATGATTCCTGTTTTTGGTCATGCGACTCACCTCGCTTGCGTGCGATCGCACGCAACTGAGCAGAGGCAAATCGCGCATGCGCTCTACTCACGAACAAAAATAAATGGCAGTAAAAAAAAAAGATTTTTCAAAATAGAGTTTGGGCTGTGTAACGGGCCTAGTAAAAGGTGTTTTTGCTTTCTCATCATATACACAGGGGCGGAATCAAGATTGTCAAAAAGGGAGGGGACCGGTGGTTTTCTCTCCCCGAAAACGAAATGTCTGGAATGTCATTGACCCTCTCAGTGAAGGGTTGTGCGTAAGAGCCATTTTTGTCCCGACATGAAAATTGATTTCTTGAAAGCTTAGCGATCGTATTTTTTTAGTGTAATTGTTATTGATATTGTATTAGTATAGTTGTTGTTATTTTTTTATTATGATAGTTATCGATGATATTTTTTATATCTTAATAGTTGTTGATATTGATAATGTTATTGTTATTGTTATTGGTGTTGGTGTTATTGTTGTCATCGTTGTCATTGTTATTGTTAATATCGCAAGTGTTGCTGATACATACCTTTAAGGCCTTGATGTCGCGTCCTTCGTAAGAGCTACCGACTGTGACGACTGACACTATACTTGAATACTGGGCTGCCAAGTCATTCATCCATCCTTCAATCTGATGAGAGAGAGAGAGAAAGAGAGAGGGGAAGAGAGGAGGGGAGAAAGGAGGAGGGAGGGGGAGAGAGAGAGAGAGAGAGAGGAGAGGAGGGGAGAGATAGAAAGAGAGAGAAAAATAGGGAGAGAAGGAGAGATATTGGGAGAGAAAACGGGGAGAGAGAAGGGGGAATGGGAGATACAAAGGTCATTGGAGAACATTAGTACTCTGGTAGCAGTAATTATCCCAGTCAAACCGACAACACCGAAACCTGGCATCGTTTTCACGAAACAGTCACAAGTACAAGTGAATCGTCATCCAATTGAACCCGTGTTAAGTACAACGATGGGATGTTGGTAATCTTGCAATGTTGACGGTTTCATGAAACGCTGCCATGACCGACGATTCACCGAACAAGAGTCGGGCAGTTGAGTCGATTTTGAGTCGGTTAGGCGGTTTGAAAGAGGTAAGAAGGTTATTTATATAAGAATGAGTTTTTCTAATCGCAAGTTACTACATATTATATGGGTACAAATAATTATGGTATATGCGAGAGACCGAAGCAATCGAGTAAGGTTAATTGTGAGACTCTTATTTATACCACTATTCATTGATTGTGTATTGTGTAATTTAACGCAGACAAAATAGTTTGTTTCGTATCATTGTTTTTGTTTGTTCGTTTGTTTGATTTTATTTCTGTATTCATCGACATAATAAACAAGTAATTCACACACTAGGTACAACATTATGTGTTATTATCAAAAGTCAAAATACATAATTTAAATCAATTAAATAATTATACCTTTAAAATGACACATAGTTGACAAATTATTTTGAAATTGAAATATGCAGGAGACCGCCACCATACCTTGACTTTTTGTATAGGTGATCGAATAGAGATGTAAAGGCTGAGTTGAAAAGTTAAACTAGAGCTTGAACGTGATGACGGCCTTGATGTTTTTGGCTGGCCGATATTAATTTTAAGAAATATGGGTCACTGATAATCATGGGGGAAGAATTTTAAAAAATCAAATATTCTAACCAGGTCAAGGGTGTTGAATTGAGTGTATGAGAACGTGGCTGTAGTCCCAGCCCTCTCCTCGTCGATGTCCGTTTGGAGGTCATCGACAGTGACTTCGACGTCCAGATCGCGACCGTTGACGAGGCCGAGAACGAGATCTTGGTACTCGGGGCTGACTAGCATGTCCACGGGGCGGTCGACGTCAGCAGGTTCCTTCCAGAAATTGACCTACAAGACAATGACAAATTATCATTCAAGGTCATCAAAGATTATACTCCTACTCTTACTTTACGCGCCCCAATCCAATGTAAAGTGCTTAAAAGGGAATTCAATTCAATTCAATTCAAATGAACATTTATTTTCTTCCATTCAATTTGACAACATAATTATCTGACATCTGTTCAAATAATACAATTAGAATACAAATAGAAGGGTTCGAAATACGAAAAACAAAAATCACAAACTCGGTGGCTCTGCTTCCTTGCATATATTTCTTTAGAATCTAGAAATATTGCACCCCAAAATCTCCAAAGGTATATATATAATCATACAACATTCGAACAAAAAGTACACAATTCTAATAACCCAGCTAAACCATATTCGTCAAGTCAGTGCCATGAAGATGAAATAAGTCACATAGTGTTATCTTTTACTACTCTTGTCAATAATTTAACGAAATTAACGATCATATGGTAAAAGCACAAGAAATTGCGTTTCTTAGTGAACAAATATATAACTCTTGATCGCTTTGCTCTTACGCTTCATTTTAACGTTATTCAAACTTTGGTTTTATACCACCCTCGGGTTAAGTCCATTTAAGATAATTATAACGTTGTGAAGAAACGAAGAAATCTGGTTTGTATATATTTTGGAGTTGACAAGTTTGAACATGTGAGCGTGTGAGGGTGAGGGGGGGGGGGGTGCATTCCTTAGAAACACCAAAACATGAGCAGTACCAAACTTTATCATTAAGTCATTACTTACATAGTTTCCCAGTACGCTCTTGAGAACGACTAGCTTCTCCAGCTGCAGGCGATCTTTAGGGGTGACACGGAATACCTTGTATCTGAATAATAAGAAGGTCATTCAATTTTTTGTAAAGGTTATTGCTCCTTTTTTGAGGGGAGAATCAGCGTTTTGATACACGTTTAGTTCAAAATTGTCAAGTTGTAAAATTATATATGCAGTGTAAAAATAACGGATACTAATTTGGGCTGTTCAGCTAAAGCCGTCGATGGTAGCTCTCTCTACCTCTTTGTGTGTCTCGAGCATAATTGTGTATTACCAATAACCTTCAAAATAAGATAATAATTAAATTGTTTTAAAGCAAATCGATACGAATTTACCAATCTAAAATACAAGAAGTCCATAATACACTTGTACTAACCCATCGTAATTGACGGCTAGCGCAGTGGCTAAGAGAGCAGTGAATACCAGAAAACGCATCATCTTCGCGTCTGTTCCTTCAGATACAACGTCAAAGAATAAAGTGGATAATAGCGTCTCTAGCACCGTATGTTATTAAACTATTATCTATACAAATAGATAATTGCGGAATAGATAATTATGGAATAGATAATAGTAATGAATATAAAATAAATGGTGAATGTTAGGGGGACAGGGTGATTCTAACCCCCTCCTACATACTTTACTTTTGGAAAACTTAGGCCTTTACCTGGACGGATTTTAGTCACTGCAAGAACAATACGATCATGAATAGTTATATATTAATCATCTTCTTTTACTGCATCACCTAGATAATGTATTTATTTGACGTAATCGTAAAGTGAAATACGTCACTTTCATTGTATTCCTACCTTTCTTTATTTCTAATATGACAAGGATTGGGACTGATTTCAACTACAAACAAAACGTAGGAAAAAGATGGGAATTACTTGGAAAATTAACAACATGTATTTGCCTGTATCTTTTACTTTCGTTGTGGTTGAAAATACATTTTACTTTACAGAAACCAAACGAAAGTAGGATAAATATTATGATATTATTAATTTTTATATTCATACGAGATTATGTCTGGGAAGCTAACATCCCTTTTTCGAAATAAATTCTAGTTATTCCTCATTCCAAAACGGCTTATTAGCATTGACTCCACCCACTGTCACTTTGCACACGGCCCACTTTTGCACACGGTCAATCATTTTTCACACGGTTTAAAATATTGCACGCGTTCCATTCAGAATCGCCACAGCTGTTTGTATCGTCCCATCCATCAGTCTTATTCTGATAATGTCACAATTACATTAATTAATAATGCTGATATTAACCATTTTCAGCTTCGTAACCATTTTGGGGCCATCTTTTCACTCAGCAAATTTACCCTTTTAATGTCACTATGTAATAAAAGTAGAGGTACTTGTAGTTAAATGGTAGAAATACTTGATTGACGATGCGAAGGTCCAGTTTGGTTCGAGCACCGACACTCACTAACGTGCTCTGACAATGAAACAAAAGATACCATCTTCGACCCAGGAATAGTTATCTGAAAGAAAAAACCCTTGAATGGTAAAGCGCCGTTATTGCAGTGGGAATAATACTCTAACATCAGGAGATACAATGGCTCAGTGGCAGAGCCCAACTTTTAATGGATTGAAATTTGATATAAAGAATGTCTACTTTTATATTGAACTGTAGCTGTTTTATTTCTAGATATTTTCAAAACTAAAAGAACTCTCATCATTAAACATGTATTTCTGAGTTTATGATAGGTCATTGTGACTGTCAAAGTTTGGGGCGTACTTTTGTCACAGATCTCTCTCTTCCGGTTCGAACAGCTGATTGTGTTCTCATGGCTTCTTGTCATAATCAGATTAAGTATCTTTACTGGTGATTGTTATTAATTAATTAATTATTGAATACGTCTATGATTGCTATATCAACACCTTATCAGGAAAGTTCAACGTGAAGGTCATGAATTGTCCATATTGGGTTGTGAATTTCCCTGTTGTGCGTTATAGATGTACATGTATTTCATTACTTAACTACATATAACATATATTTATCTTTGTTATAACATATATAACATATATTTATGTCAGAAATGCATCTCAGCAATGCACTAAATGTTTCATACTATCAATTTGAATGCAGAGAAAATCTAATCAATGGAACATGTAAAGATGAATTTAAGTTCTGGTCTTGCAATTGTAGTGTGAAAGAAATTGTCTCGAAGCAGGAGACCGGTTTACTAAGATTGGTTCAAATTTTATGCATAGTTCTTGACCGGGGTTCTTGACCACTTGAAATCTTGCCCGAGGCTTGCCTGATAAAGCAACAAGTCATGTATGCAGACTGGATTCCAAGTATTGTTATTCATTTATTAATAGCAGGTTAATTGAATAACTCGTTACTATTATTTACCTGATCCCCAGGAAAGAATATGTTAGAATCTTAAATCAAAGAATCATGGCGAATTGTTTTTGAAGGTTTACTTATAGCCTTTGAGGATGATAATAATGAAATAGTTCTATTTATATCGCACATAACTGTATCCATCCCCAAGAAACGAAGTAGCATTGTTACCCTGGTTTAGCACAGCTGCCCTAAGGCGCTAAAAGCATTACAGGAATAACATCCTACCAGATGCCTATTCACTACAGGGCAGAGAGGGCAAAAGCAAATTAATATCTTTCAACAACAACAAAAAAAAAGAAAAAGAAAAAAAGATTAATATCTTTCAAAAGGATATTAGTTCCGTGGTGGGACTCGAATCACGAAACCATGCATGTGACCCACAGTCTGCTGACTTATCTACGAGACCCCGATACCTGGAAACCTCTACAGGTTCTTAAGCAGCATGCTGATAATAATTATTCAATCTGTTTCAGCTCGACTTCTGGAGGGAGGCGACGCCGTCTTCGATCGGTCGTCCCGTCGACATCATGGTACCATCGAGCCTTCGGAACAACGTCCACGACATACTGACGTCACTCGATCTCGACGTCACAATCACCATCCCCGACGTGGGAGCCCTAGTGAATGGCCAGATGACAGAGATTCAAACGAGACAAGTAAACGAGCCAGTCGGTACAACAGCCCTGTCCGATTTCGACTACGCACGATACCATACGTATGATGAGGTAAAGATATGAATTCAGCGAAATTTTACAATGAAAGAGGGGCTTCCATCCATTTTGAAGATGGTGGGGTGAAGGGGGTGGGGGGGGGGCGGGCTGGCTAACACCCACGTTAGAAGCGTTCGTGTCAGTAACTAGTCGTATTTACCTAAGTCCGTGAATATTTCAGCATAGAATACTATTTGAAGAACCAGCTTTAAAACAGTCTTTAAAAAAAGGAAAATTTCATTGTGTGGGTTTATAGTTTTATCATTATCAAACATCAATGGGGAGGGTAAGCTACTGGCAACTGCCAAAATCAATCCCCCGGGCCTGCGACGTAAATTAATGAAGAACACAATATCTGTAATGGTAATAACAAGGTCTAATATCCATTAAAAAAAAACCACATTGATCATCTCGTTCCCTTATGCCCAAATAAATGACTTTATAACCAATTATTACTTTTCCCCACAGATCCAGCAATGGGTTTCAGACATTGTGAGTGAGTACAGTGACATCGCGTCTCCCTTTCTGCTCACAACCTCATACGAAGGAAGACCAATCAATGGATTCCGTGTAAGCAATTTATAAAGATCACTTTACAAATTTACTAAAAATACAATAATGAGGGACAGGGGGAGAAGGGAGAGAGAGAGAGAGAGAGAGAGAGAGAGAGAGAGAGAGAGAGAGAGAGAGGGGATGATAGAGCGAGATAGAGAGAGAGAGAGAGAGAGAGGGAGAAAGAGAGAGATGTGGGAGAAAGACAGAAAGAGAGACAGAGAGATATACTGAAATAGAGATGGAGAGAGCGAGAGCGAGAGCGAGAGAGACACATACACACAGAAAGAGAGGGGGAGGGGTGGTGGAGATCTTCATAGGCTACCAGAGTTGGAGTAGGTTGGAATAAGATCTTGTAACACTTTAGGCCAGGTTGGCAGCTCATATAATAACTTTACAAAGAGCTTAGAAGTCTTTTGAAGTACAGGTCAATAAACGCTATACAGTATTCGAAGAAACAACCGAAGGATCAGAGGCACAAGGCCTAATAAAATATCTTTTTGAATCTTGTTATAGATCAGAGGAAGAAATAGTGATGCCAGCGTCACCCCTCCCCCTGCAGTATGGTTTGAGGGCGGTATACATGCAAGAGAATGGATCAGCCCAGCCACCGTCATGTGGTTCACCGGAAAGGTAATTTAATTTTAAATGTTTGCTTTGATAAACCCTAAGTCTAAGAGTTGCGATTGATCCGAATCAATCGCAACTTTGTAGTCTCCTATTTCCTATATACATAGTTGCGATCGATATCAATCGCAAATAAATTGCTATTTAAATCAACTCTTTATAAGACGAGGCCCATGTAGGGCATCGTTTCATGAAATGGTCATAAGAACAAGTTCGTCGATAACTCATTGAAACATTAAAATTAACACGCATTTTGAAGAGACGTCCTTGAACTTGTACTTGTGACCGCTTCATGAAACGATGGCAAGACAATTTAAATTCTAAAAGTCATGAACTTCAGCATCTCTGTGGAAACGTGTCTCGGAATCAGTGGCCGATGTATGTGTATGTAGGGGGGGGGGGCAGCCGAACCCCACAAATGAAGAAAAAGTGTCCCCTAATAATGTATCGTGCCCTCTTTCAAGTTCGTCTTCCAAAAACAGCTGAGAATATGATTTTTTTTACCTGGTATTTTTGTTTTGTTTTTATTTGCTCGTCACAATAATGTCTTCCCCATTTTAAGATTAATATCCTGGGTTTACCCCCTTTGGGCTATGCCATATATGAAGCAAACGATAACTCATGTCCCACTCATTAATCTCGATACCTTGTGCTCTTCTAAAAAAAAAAAAAAAATTAAAACAAATCAAGATTATACTTGTAAATCATCAATGTTAGTTATAAAGTGAGGTAGTTATTATATTCAAAGAGATTTAATAAAATTATGACGTTCGCGTTTTTTTTTCCTTCAATGAAGCTTCTTCAAGATTATGAGGACGGCGACGAACTGGCCGTGAATATGTTTGACAACATGGACTGGTACATCGTCCCATCTCTCAACGTCGATGGCTACACTTATACGTGGACTAATGTAAGTCTATCTTTGAGAAGGGTTTGGTAACTACTAAAAACAAAGTTGGTAGTGTTTATCACGTGTTTCATGTTACACTTCAACATGCCACTTTAACGGGGTCGATATCGTCATTTCATTGTTTTCCATTTGGAATTGAGAACTGAACATTAGCTTTCATAAACTTAAATATAAGAGACATATTGAGTGATTTCAAGTTGGGTGTTTAAGGCTGGTGTTAGTGTTTAATAAACACTAACACCAGCCTAAACACCGAAATGGAAATCAGCTGGTGTTAAGGCTTTGACCTCT